TCTGCCTTGAAACTCACATCTCACATTAATTTGTGGCTCTCTGGTACTGAAGCAGCTGCACTGTGCCTTTGCTGCTCAACACCAGCAGCTTTCAGCCTCTGAAGTGTCCTTCAGTGCTGCTCACATGAAGACCTCCTGAATGTGTCTCAAGTGGCCTCCCTGCCTGCCACATAACAACATGTGGTCTGCCAGCTTTTGTTTCATCACAAGAGAGCTTAGAGCTCTTCTGCTTTCGGAAATTGGGTAAGATTCAGTCTCCTTCCTACAATGACTCAGTGTGCTGCAGAAATTACTCCTGCCTTGTATGAGCAGCCACTGTGGATCTCTCAGAGCTGTGCCAGTCTCTGCTAGCCACCAGCTGCCTTCTGGAGAGCAGAGCAAAGACCTGGGGCTGCTCCACGCTCTGGTCTTATGATTGCTAAATATAGGCCATTGATAAATAACACAAATGCATGAAGGGCACAAAATCAACAGTTGTTGCAGGTGCTAATGCAGCCTTCTCCTCTGTTCTTTCACCCGTGTCACTGACGCCTTTCAACATCACCCTTTGCATTTTGAGTAGGTATTGTAGCTTTGCACAGCTATTTCCAAGGACCTAATCTGGCCAGCAGAAACTTTCCTTGTGTTTTATTAGGAGTAATAAAAGTCTCACCTTTCCTCAACACTTGTAAACTGAGTGCCTCTGACACGGAAGTAAGTACAAGATGTGAAGCCCTTACTCCTAAATTAATGGTGATCTTAATGGGAATGATTCTATTCAAAGGAAGTGTCAGATAAAATAAGTCTATTTCCTTAGGGAAGTGTGTTCTTTTATAAAGCTCTGCCAATCCTTGCTTTTTTGGAAACCAAATTGGCAGTCTCTTTGTTTCACAGCCAAATTCCTGATCCTAGGCCTGGAGTATGTCTGGAAAAACATTTCTAGAGAATCCCCTGTTATAAATAACCTAGAGGAGGGAAGTATCCTTTGTATCCTTCCTAGAACAAAGAGCAGCAGGCTGTAAAAGGGCATGGAGAAAGGGCTGATCTCTTGTAGTAGAGAAAAAAAATCTTGATCTTGAGGCTGATGTTTGCAGCATGTGCTCAGGATGAGTCACATGAAAGGCAAATTGAGATAAGAGCAAAGACTCCTGAAAGAAAACGGCCGATTTTAATCTCTGTATCCCAGTTTACATGGTCTTTGCTGTAGAAATAAAAGCTCTGCACCCCCCTGTAATGTCTCCTTAAAAGATGCAGCACCCCTGCAGCACCCTTGCACCAGCTCCCCTGAGCTTCCTACCTGTGCCCTCACTGTACATTCTCTAAGCCTCTCAGGAGGTTTGTTCTTTGTGACCCATTTATAGAGGGTGCTCATGGTCAGCCTGTCCCAGCCCTCCTGCAGCTGTCACAGCCACTCCATGTCCCATCTCCAGCCATGCTGACTCTGAGGAAGTCACATGAGAAATTCTATCAGTTGATGTAGTTTATGTAGTTGCATGGGAATATCACTAGATGTCCTCTACTGCTAAGCAGCTTCACCATGGTCTGTGCCAAGCACCAGGGAAATCTGGTGAAATCAATCTCAGTTGTTATGGCTTCATTGTTCCTGGTCCATAGAAGCAGAGCAATATTGTTCATCCATAGCCTGAAGGTCTGATCTGCTTTCTCTGACCAACTGGACCCACAGTGGCAGCAAAGCTACTGCATTGGCTTCATGCAGGTTTGGAGTCAACTGGCAGTGTAGGAACACTTCAACGTTTTCCTTTGCAGCTCATTTGAGATTGTGCCATCTGACAGAGCTCAGGCTGTGGTCTCTGTGCTCTTCTCCAAACTCAACACCAAGGGTCAAGCCCACAGGGCTCTGCTCTGATCCAATCTGGTGCAGGACGGTGCTTTTCCCCGCAAGGTGCAGGCAGGTACAGTTCCCTGCTCCAGTACAACCTGCCTGTCCTCCAGACAGTGATGCCAGCAGCACCTTGGGTTAGTTCTTGGGAGGGCCACTGCATCCCCTCAAACCCCATCTCCATCCCCTGACTTCCATGAAGTGACCTCTTATCCCTGGCTATATGGCACCAGCAGGAACTTGTACTGACAAAAATCTTATGCATTGCACTGTTCCTGAAAGGAAAACTTTTTTCCTTTTTTTCTTTTTATTTTTTCTTTTTTTTTATTTATTTTGTGCAAATAGTCTCTGTCTTGCTGTGGTGCTGTGCAAAGCCTTATGTTTGCAACCTCCTGCTGCAGAGCCTGGGCAAGGGAAGTGTCCCCAGCAGCCCAAAAGGCAGCTGCCAACAAAACAAGCTAAGAGGCTCATGCTGCCCTAACCCACTCAGCTTTAATATGGGATAATTCAGCCACATTCATCTAGACCTAACAGTGAAATACTATGCTACATACATAATGCATCCTCTGATTTAGCAAGAGCTCGCCTGAAGTATAATCTGACTTGAGGAGTTCAGAGGTTGCATGGTCACTTTAATCTAGTCACTGAAGCTGAAACAGACTGGAAATGTCATGTGCTGAAATCTGTATGGGGGAAACGTTGGCTGAAATTTTAAGGCACTCTTTTCTTTTAGCTTTCTATTTCGTTTCAAGGTTTGAAGTGTCACCCATCCTGCACTCACATCCCCCCAGGGAGGGCTGGTAAAGGGGAGGCTCTTGATGCCACTGCCTCTGCTGTCAAACTGAACATGATGCTTTGTTTGAGGGCTCCTTGGGGTGACTCAGCAGGATACAAAAATGCACTTTAAAAGGAGTTGTATTTTATAAGCGCTCAACCACAGCAGCAATTCCCCTTTAGCAATGTTGTTAACTAATACGCACTACAAGAAATTAAATGCTGCTCCAGATACTGGATGGAATTGAAAGATGACTTTTTGCTTTCCTCCATCCATAATTTTAGTATTTCTTATGGTAGGAAGGCTACTGAGAGCTGAGCAACAACCTGACATACAGATACCTGACATACAGGAGCCAGGCCACAGGCTTTTCCTGTCAGGTGTTACTGACTTTAGTATGAAATGCATCAGAGATTTTCAGATTTAGGTGTCTGAATATTTGGCTTGGTTGGCAAATGCAGCTATCTCCACAGAAGTAAAAATGTGCAGCTCTGAAGGGTGATTTGTTTAAGATGCCCAAATAGAAAGCTGGATGCTCTGATTTAAAGATCTAAACCTGAAGTCTTTGGCAGTCCCAGGACTGCTGTGTCCCCAGCATTTAGTGACAGCATTTCCACACTTCTGAGGGTGTATAAATGGCCTGCTGTGTGCAGCTTTGCCAGTTCTGCCCACCCTAGTGGCAAGATGTGCTGACAGCAAAAACCAGATTCCTCGTAGCCAGTCACCTCCATCACTGCTCTGGGATGATGAGGAGACTGTTTTGTCCTAGAGGGAAAATTTGTAACTAACAGAGAAGCTGTTTCACATCAAATTCAGGTGTAAACATGTGACTCCTTTTGACGAATGCAAATCTTACAAACCCAGCTGTCAATTCATGTGAACAAAACAAATCTGTCCCATGGTTTGGCTCAGAAACCTGTGGGGTTCTCCTGATCTGCTCCCTCTCACCTCTTCCGTGCTGCTGGACCAATGCAGGTTTTGAGGCAGATACTCACATATCTTGTTTGTAAAATGGCAGTACACTTCTCTCTGCTTCTTACAGGTGTGGAAAGAGAGCAAGGAGGCTGTCTTGTTCTGTGCATGCCACAGCGCTGTGCCAGACTCCTTGGGTAGATCTTTCTGGGGACTACTGGAGTGTACAGAATGCTAATTTAGCACAGGAGGAGAGCTGGGATTGTTCACTTGGATTTAAGAACCATTTTGAGTTCCTGTACCTCTGCTTTGCGCACCACCAGGGAGGTAAGCCCTGACCTAGCATGGTTAATCTGCGGGTGACTAAATGTACCCTCTGAGATGCTGTGGGCACTCAGTCTGTACCTGAGCACCACCCAGGGTTGTGCCCAAGGTGCTCCTGTGGTAGGACACATCCTTCCTGCCATGGATTGTTCTCACACAGCCATCCCTAGCATCCTCTGCGAGGGCAGCATGTGTCACTAAGTGTGTGTAGGAGCGGGAGCAGAGCTTTTGCTGGTGTCAGGTGCAAGGTCTGAGGTGGCAAGGGAGCCCACAGGTGGCATGGGAAGTGCTGCTTTGGTTCTGCCTCCCAGTGTCAGTCAAGGGCACAAATGAGAGGTAAGAAAAGTAACCACTGCCTATGTGTCCCCCGAGTGCTATATAGGATGAGCTCTGGTGTATTAAACACGAATTCTCTTATTGGGATTAAAGTCGATGAAGCTTCTTCGTATTAAGTATGAATATATCAACAGATATATTTTTATGGGGGAGAGGGAGAAGGGGAGTTGTGTGCGCACAGTAGCTGGTTCTCAAAGGCTCGGTGTGTGCCGTGTTCATGCGGCTGAACGGCGCTTGTGGCAGTCCGTGCCCTCCGGCTGCTGCCCCGTCCGTCAGACAGAACCGGCTCTTTACTCTCCCCCTCCTCCTCCTTCGCTGGCGGCTGCACAAACCCGGCGGCCGGAGGGTCGGTCCGCTCCCCTTCAGCCACAGCCCCGTGGGGCCCGGGTGCCGGGCGGGGAGAGCGGCCCGAGCGGTTTAAGGTGCCGCCGCCGCTGCCGCCCCGCTCCGCTCCGCTCCACCTCGTGGCGGCGGCGGACGGGCCCATTGCCGCGCCGGGGGTCGGCGGGCGCGGGCCCGGGCCCCCGGGCGCGCCGCCGCCGCGCCCGCCGGACAGCGACCCCCACGCGCGGCCCGAGCGGCCATCGCGGCCGAGCCGCAGGTGACGGCGGGTCCCCGCTCCGCCGCGAATCCCCCTCGGCGGCGCCCGGCCCGGCCCCCGGCGGCGGGGCCGGGCTATTTATAGCAGCCGCCGCGGCGATATAAGGGATGGCGGGCGCGGGCTGCGCGGCCGCGGCCGCCTGGGCCAGAGCACTGCCGGGCCGCCTCAGGGCGGGCGCTGAGGGCGCGGCCCCGCAGCCCGGGTGAGCGGGCGGGGAGTGGGCTCGGAGCGGCGCCGCTCCGTTCTGTGAGCGGGGCGGGGGGACACGGCCAAACAAACAACAACCCGGGTGCGTTCTGCCCGTCCTCCGCGGGACAGCGCCGCGCACTTTCGGCGCTCCACGCGTGACAAGCCCGCGGGAGGGGCGGGACCGCCGTGACACCCGGCGGTAACCGCGGCGGGGCTTCCCCCTCTGCCTCTTTCCTCTCCCCACAGCGATTCCTGCTGAAATGCGGCGCCCCACGCTGGCATGAGCCCCGCCGTCGGGAGCAGCGCGCCCCGGGCACCGCCGCTTTCCCTGGCCGCAGCTCGGTGTCGGGAGCAAAGCGCTGTCGCCGACTGTCACCGCGGAGCCGCCGCTGGCGGCAGCGCCGGACGCCGGGCGAGGGACGGACGGTACGGACGGTACGGGGGAGCTCCGTGCGGCGGGCGGGCTGCGGGGGGCTCGGGGTCCGTGCCCCCTGAGAGCCGGGGAAAGGGAATGTATGGTGCTATGATTGGAGCGCCGTGCGGTCCGTGCCTGCTCCAGGGCGAGCGCTGGGGAGAGGGCTCGCTCTGAGTTACGCGGTGTAATGGAAGATCTTTGTAAGTAAGCTTGTGTCAGGGGTTGTTCCCGCCGCCACAGATTCAGAGTCACGATATTTTTTTACTTTCCTACCCCGGGTGTGTTTGGATGTGATCTGGGTATGCCGAGGATTCTTATCTTGCATTAAAATTGCTCTTGGATCACTGAGTACTTTGAATAACCTTCCATAACTTTTAGATTGATAGAGATGCTATCTTCAATTACAGAGAAAGGAGGAGGTACGGGTTTGGATTTGGTTAGTTTTGGTTTTTTGGTTTGGTTTTTTTTTCCTGGTTTTACTTTACTTTTACTTTGCTTTTATACTTTCTGCTGTAAGAAAACAAACTGAACCACAGATAGGACAAGGATTTTTAAGACCTTGTGATTGGGATTGCTGAGGATTAGAAAGAAAATTTGTAGGTTTTTTGTTTGTTTATTTACTTTAATCAATGGCTCAAGAGCCCTAGAAACAACGTATGAAGAAGCTCTGCTTCCTAGACAGAGAGAAACTTAAGCTAAAGCCACGCTGGCTGCAAGCTGAGGAGCAAGTTAAGTGTTAGACCTCGAGTGGATCACTCTCAAGCATCCTGCGCTCCTCTGCTCCAGTGACTCTCCTTGTCGTGCAACAAATTGGGACTTCACACCAGCAGGTCCGAGTGCAGACAGGGCTTTTCTTGGAAGAGCAAAGCTCACAGGAGAGCCTTGACCCCGGCGTCAGGCTTTCTCCCAGCACAGGGAACTGCAGCCCTTCAGCACTGTCAGCTGGCACTGATCTCCAGTAATGCCACGGAAATACAAAAATCTAAGCCACCAAGTTCTCAGGTAGCTTAAATCGTCTAAATTCAGATTTTGTCAGCAGGCTTAAAAGGATGCTATTGGCTGGAAATGTTTATGTACATCTTACCTGGAAACTGTTGTTCATACAAGAGTTGATATTAAGAAATGTGAATCAACTTTATAGTTGGATCAGCTATAGATGTGCTTTCTAAGGTTTCACTCTGAAATAACCTGGTTAGCTCAGGCTCTTTTTTGCATAAGAGAGATGCATTTCAAATGCCTAAAACTGTTACTTTTCTTTATGAAAGGTACTTGTATCTTGCTCTGAATCTGTTAACATGGATTTGCAAAAACGGGGTCTGTTAATTTAAGAAAGGCTAGGAGAAAGATAAGAGAAAGAACAAGGGGTGTGGCAAGGAAATTGCGCGAAGTAACAGCTTTAAAGAAAAACTCTCTGTAGTAGAGCCTCAGACTGCCTAAGAGAGGTAAGATTTCTTTCTGGATACTTGAGCTGAAAATACCAAGCTGACAGTATCTCCTTAAAAATAATAACGTATGTAGAAAATAGATATGAATAGCTTCATATTGTAGTTCTGCATCAATTTGTCTTTCTTTGGTTTTGCTCCTCCATTCCAGGAGATATCCAATATGATAAGAGTGTATACCCAGATTGCAGAGGGCCAAACACCCCACTAACACCACTCCTGAACCAGAGCAGCTGGGTCAGAGCTGGCCCAGCACCTCTTTTCAGAAATTATGTGAGAGGCAGTTCTATTTATTGAAGTTTTTGGTGGGTATTTTCACAAGCTCCAAATTTTTTGCAGAGAATTCTAAGAATTGCAGAAACTAAACTTGCCTTCTTTGGGGGGAACTTCTTGGTATGTGTTGCATTGGATGTTCTTTTCTTAACCTGGGACTGAGGCTAACACTAGGGAGGAATAGCATTGTATCAGAAGGTGATTAGAGAAGACTTTCTTCCTTCTCACTACCCTTTTTTTTTTGGGACCTGGTGGAAAAATGGCATTTGGGGAATGAGAGGAGGAGGATCAGTCCTTCACTGAGCTGGTGTTGTAATTGACAAAGGCAATGTAAGGCAGGTGGATATAGGAAAAATAAGTGTGATGATTCATTATTGTTGTCATTGTGCTGGGTTTCTTACACTCCTCTTTACTTGAGCGTCCTGTACCCAAGTCCTCTCTGGCCCATTAGCTGCTCCATGTGCTCCTAGTGGTGTTTCTGGGCTGACAACATGTGAGCAGGTGCTCCACTCCCTTAATTCTAGAAGACTCCTTGAGGAAAACTGTTAAGCTTTATTCAATTCTGCCCTTTCATTTTTATCTTCCTTCCTTGGGTGTGAAGTCCTTTTGGTAGCTGGATTCAAGCCAAGAGCTTCTACCCAAGCTGCCAAGCCTGGCATCCCTACTGGCTCCAGGTGAGTCAGTTCATTAGGATGAATCAGTATGCCCTGTAAAAGTTTTAGGCTCCAGACTTCAGCTTGGCCACTCTTAATAATTTGGTTTTGCCTGGTTTATTTGTTTGTCACTGCTTCAGCTAAGCTGTCACTTCTGATGGCTCCTTGCTTCAGACTTGCTCAGCCTTTGGAGCCATGCAGGGCCTTCAACCAGTGTCCCTACACTTTGTGGAGCTGCTTTTGCCTCAGCATTGTAACTCCTCCATGACCACTCATCCCTTTACCTCTCTTATGTGCACAGTTAGGGGGGATTGCACCTCAGCATAGAAATGGGCAGCTCTCAATGCAGGGAGTACTTCGGGACTCTGGAGGTGGAGAATATTAACATGAACCCACAGGAATGAAGAGGGGTCTGTTTTTGCATGGTGGAGGTGTTTGCCTAAGCTTTTACTGTCATAAATAAGTCGATTGGGATTCAGGGGACACATTCAATGTAAAAAATAGGTATTAGTTTTCCAGCTTCCAAGGTAGGGCTGAGGAAGAGAATGGTGTTAAAAGATATGGAAATGTGCCTTGAAAGTAACCTTGCAAAGATGGATGACATTATTTTTGTTGTATGAAGCACCCAAATTTAACGAGGTATAAAGCAGAAGGCTTGGGAGGATTTGGTCCAAGTGAAAACAGAATGAGTGTGGGACTGGCAGATGGGAGGAACATGAGCCCACTCCTTGGTGGAGCTGTTGCTTCTTTCTCCTGTTGTTGCTTACAGGGGTGCTTGAGAGAAGATGCTTACTGGGGAGGGAAGAATAGCCTTCCTGTTCTACTTGAATGTCACTGGCTGTATTTTGCTCTGCGGGGAAACAAAGTTCCAGTGCTCCAGTGGGTCACATCCTGAGTGTCTGTATCCAAAGTAAATCTAGAGCAACACTGTCCACTTCAAAAATATCTGCAATAAGCCAAGACTAGCTCTTTCTGAACAGAGAGGATAAATGAGCAGCTGTAACTTCAGATGCTGAATTTTTTGGCATACTTGTTTTTTTAGAGATTTATGGCTCTTTTATTCTGTTTGAGAATGTAGTGGAGCAATTGCTGATCTGTGTATGTGTGAGAAAATGTCAGTGGAGGAGTAATATATATGGAAATCTTGCATAGAGATAGAACAGGCAGCCAGTTTGCCATTCATTAGGAAATGAAATAATTGTACAAAAATATGTCTCCTGAAATAACAATTGAGGGAAGGGGTAGAGACAGGGTTGGGGGAGGTTAACAATATTTTTGAGTAATTTTCTCTACTTAGAGTACTCGTTACTGACCTCTCCTGCAATTTTACTGCTTCAGACACTGCTTTTCCAGTGAGTGGTGCTTTGTGCTGCACAGGCACAAAGGTTCCACCTGAGACACCAGCCCAATTCCTGGAGCTAGGTGAAGGGATGGGAAACTGCCCCCAAGTACTTTCTCTGTCACAACTTGGCCAAAGGTAGGTAGGCTAAGCTCAGCAACTCTTACAGGTACCAATGAACCTGCCTTTCACGAAGTCCATTTTTCTTTCTAAAATGGGGAAGTAGAAGTTATTTCTTTGTGGGTGTGTTGGGAGCATAAATATAGCTGAGATACTTCAGAAGGCATCTAAGTATCTGAGACTGTCTTGGATGGGATTCCCCTTCCCCTTCCTGCTACTTCTCTTCTGGCCAGAACTGACCAGCAGAAATGTTCAGTGCTTGTACAATTTACATATTAATTTTTGGCTATATTTGTTAACCTTGGAATTTGTTTGACATTGATGGGCTCAAGAGTAAAATCTTTAAATAATTTCTTGTACTTTCTTCTACTGTAGAGCAGCTTAAAAAGTTCCTGGCACTCTTTCACCTTTTCCCAAATAACACAGTGCCTACCTTGCCTTCTCTTTGAGAAAGTCTGCCTCTGCAAAGAATGTTGTACCAAATATATAACTTTATGCAAGGTGGTAAAAATGGTTTATTCTTTCTTCATCCCAGCTCTTGACTGCATCTGCCTAGTCCTTGGTCTAGAGATAAATGTCACTGAGGACTGCCTGGGGACTATTTTGCATCTGAATGGTGACTTGTAATGATTCAGGTAATGGGCCAGACCACTGTTTTTTGTAATGACTGGTGCTAGTCCACTGAGGTCCAGACAGCTGCTCCAAGTTTCTATCATCTCCAGTGAAAACAAGTACAACAGCATCAGCTTGCAGCCAGTTTACAGTAAACCTGCTCCCTGGTCTGTGGGTTAACCTCCTTAAATATCCCTGTGGTCAGGTCTGTTACTCTTGTATGTGAAAATAAGTCTTGGTGTGCTTTCTGATTTACTGAAGTGTAAATAAACCAAGAAGGTCTTTCAGGCTCTCTCATCAGCATATATTAGTAACGCTCATCAGCTCTTGACTGGAACTTTGATGGCATAATTACTCTGAAAGGGTAACATATTCAAAACTACCTGTGTGACTTTGGGAGTTAGATTCCTCAGAGTCTTAGTCATTATTTTAAAAAGCAATTAGCTTTTTAAGCTACACACACTCCTGGAAGTTTTAAGCAAAGGCTTCTGTTTATCTTGTCTTTAAAATGACAGTTTCTAGGATGAGAGTGGTGGCTCTTCCACTCCACTTATTTCAGATATTAAATAAGAGTGTTGGAG